TGATGGGGTGGTGGTGTTATGGTGGATCAGTTATGTTAGGTTGGATCACCTGATGGGGTGGTGGTGTTATGGTGGATCAGTTATGTTTGGTTGGATCAGCTGATGGGGTGGTGGTGTTATGGTGGATCAGTTATGTTAGGTTGGATCACCTGATGGGGTGGTGGTGTTACTCAGCTATAAATTAGTACTACTCTACGGCTGAGGAAGCAAAGGAGGTCCAGTACTTTGCGGATCTTGCTGCTCCATTTTATAAGGCTTAGTATGCAGTGTACTATATCTGCACTGCCTCTAACTCACTTTCGATGCGTTTCTTGTTATATAACTTAATTATAAGAATGTGTGTGTGTGTGTAAACAAATATAACAAACACCTTAACATATATCTCTGGTATAGTATATTAAACAGTCATCAGAATATTGAAGTCATCACCATATTCACCATAAGTCATTATCATCATCATCATTATTCACAAAACAAAAATAACATAACATTTTCTATAATTCACCATAAATATAAGCCACCCGAAGCCATTCACTGCAAATGTCACTATCGGTTCACTGTAAAGAACCATGAGAGGTTTCCACCATCAATGGCTTTAGCATCTGTAAAGTGGTGGCGTGTGATGATCAACTACACACCAGAAGGAAAAATACATATTTCAACATGAACAAAACCCGGCAACAAGTTAGGACCTCAGCTGCCACGATATTACCTCTGTATTATCGGTGAGAATTAGTTTATTTTATGGAATATTATCGACAGGTATTTATTATTTTATGTAATATAACAATTCAATAATATTATCAAGAATTATTTACTTATCTCATGCAATATTATCGGCAAATATTTCTGTTTTACGGAATATTTCATTAAGACTAACGTAACTCTTCAAATTGCAAATAACTTCTGTAACATTACCACCAATAATCACATTACATTTGCCTTGAAACCATTTTATGTAGCATTATGAAAATCTTGTTGAGTCTGTCCAAAAATAACACGAAAAAGAAAATATGTTTGATTTCCAACACTTGGCGGCAACAGAAAAAAAATATTCAGGTTAGTGTATAAAACCTTAGGATAAACGATGACATGAAATCTGGGGTCTGATATTGAAGAAGGGGGTCTGATATTGAAGAAAGGGGTCTGATATTGAAGAAAGGGGGTCTGAAATTGAAGAAAGGGGTCTGATATTGAAGAAAGGGGTCTGAAATTGAAGAAAGGGGTCTGATATTGAAGAAAGGGGTCTGATATTGAAGAAAGGGGTCTGATATTGAAGAAAGGGGTCTGAAATTGAAGTTCTGAGAGTTTTGATAAATTTCACTTGGGATGGACGTGTGTGTGTGTGTATATAACGTTTGTTTATATATATATATATTTGTGTCTTTTGTTTGTATGTCTGTTTATATATATGCAAATACTTCCTCGTAAACAACAACAATAAACAAATACTTCCTCTAAAGTATAAACAAACAAACAACAAATATAACTCATAAACAAGAACAGTAAACAAACCTCACTACCATAACATATAACTCTTACCTGTATATACACAAAGCTTGATAATATCGCCTTGTTGAAGCCATAACACATCGTTGCAACAGATGGCCGACCTGTTGCACTCCTATCATGCAGTAGTGCCGTAGTTGCATGTTCTAGTCTATACCATCAATCATTATTAACATTACATAAATCCATATTGCGTGAATGTATATATTGGATGTTGTATAAATGAGAGTATTGTATAAATGTGTATCTATCTGTATTTCATAAGTATTGTATAAATGTATGTTGTATATTGCATAAAATACAGATTAACTAACGCTAAAAGAAATATTAATAACTTGTCCTTTACATGTTAACAAGATATAGAATTTAACTGAATATTTTCTCGACATAAATAGTAATAAAAAGGCCTGAGTATTGTGATCAAGGGCAGACAGGGTGGAGGGAGAGAGGGGAGGGGGGACGGTGAGGGAGGGGGAGACGGTGAGGGAGGGGGAGACGGTGAGGGAGGGGGAGACGGTGAGGGAGGGGGAGACGGTGAGGGAAGGGGAGACGGAGGGAGGCCGTTTACAGTATGTGTTTAATGGCCCTGTCTATTTTTTTTTTACCATTTTATGATGCAATTGAGACTTTTAAAATACTTTGTCCTCTTCTCTCCTCTCTGCTCTTCCTTAGTCTCCTCTCCTTTCCTCTCCTCCCTTTCCCTTCCTTCCTCCCTCCCCTCCCCTACCTTACAACTTGCTGGTGCGTATATATTGTAGTGAAGGGTTTTTATTTCCCTTTAAGCTCGTTATGTCAAGCGAATAAAATTGTTCGAGTGCCTTTTTGTTGCAACGGAGAGAGAGAGAGAGAGAGAGAGAGAGAGAGAGAGAGAGAGAGAGAGACGAATACGTTGAGAAAAAGAAAAGCGGAGATATTGAGCAAAATATAAGCAAAAAAATTAAAATAAATATATGCAAAAAGAGAAATTGAATTAAATGCAAAGAGAGATAGAGACGTATAGAGGAGACAGAATGGTAGAATGAGAAAGGAGAAAATAAGAAGGAAAGAGAGGAAAACAGACCTCTATAAGGAGAAAGAGAGAGACACCATTGACAATATTCTCCTTCAACCCGTGTTTCTAGGTAAAGAATTAATGTCCATCTCCCACACACACACACACATACACACACACACACACACACACACACACACACACACACACTAGACTGATATGTGAAAGTTCCTTGTGTATGTTTTAGAATTATTGAGTTATATATTTTAATGTATTATTATTATTATTATTATTATTATTATTATTATTATTATTATTATTATTATTATTTACCCTTTTCCTCTCCTCCTCCACTTCCTCCTCCTCTTCCTTCTCAACCTCCCCCTCATCTTCCACCTCCTCTTCCTCCCCTTCCTCCTCCTCCTCAGGGCTGCTCACTGCCCTCCGGTCACTGAGGTCATTCCAGTGAAAGTCCCGAGAGAAGACTTCCTGTCATTTTTCATAAGATCTTCACGCCCACCCGACCTCTTGACAGCTCTCCTCCCTACCCCTCCCTCCCTCACCATCCCTCTTCCTCCCTCCATCACCACCCTCCCCCTTCCCTCCCTCTATCCAACACCACCATTCCCGTTCCTCTCCCTCCCTCCTTCCCTCTCTCTTTTCATCACCACCCACGCTCTCCCTCCCTCCATTACCACCCTCCCCCTCACTCCATCATCTCCCCTTCTCTCCCTCTATCACCACCTTTCCTCACTAATATCCTCTCCCTCCCTCCTACAGCCGTCAGATGGTAAAATTAATGACATTTCTTGGTTCTTAGTTCCCGTGTTAATGTTCCTATGATTTATTGTCCCCGAAGTAATTAAATATCACGTCCGAAATCAGTGTTCTTGCGGGTGTAAAAATTTGATATCACCTGAACAATCGTCATTCCAGCTTATTTCACTTAAAGATTAACCAATTTAACCTAACCTAACCTAACCTAACGTAACCCTACCCTGATTTATACGACAAACTTTACGGTAGATGTTTAAGCAGAATTTACCGAGGTTCTTTTAATAGGAATATAGTTCACTTTAAGCTGTAAGAAGTTCCTTTGTACCTTACAATTGGCAAGCAACAGGTTATAGTGAGAGAGAGAGAGAGAGAGAGAGAGAGAGAGAGAGAGAGAGAGAGAGAGAGAGAGAGAGAGAGAGACCTAACACTCAAAAAACATCTACAGCATCAGTCAGATCAACCAATGTGGTAATCGAGATGAGTAAACGATGCCTCTGTGTGTGTGTGTGTGTGTGTGTGTGTGTGTGTTGTGGCAGTGTAACCAAGACAACTGCGGTATAGCCTCAACATACCCTATAACGATACACTTGTGAAACCAACACCCACACTACATCAACACCACCACCACCACCAACATCAGCACCACGTCTGAGCTCCTCTAACAAGCTACAGTATATTACTAACCCTGTTGGCTGTGTACATCACGATAAAATACTTGAGGAATAAAATGAACGGTGGTGTCGGGTGATAAGCATATAATCTTGGCGAGTATATATAACGTGTGCGTGTTGCTCCAGATCCCTCCCTTTCCCTTCCCCCCTTCCCCCTTTCCCCTCCCCTCCCCCCCTCCTTGCCTGCAGACACTGTTACAAGCACATGAGGCAGAGCTGACCACCACGAAGGATGAATCATACGTATTTAGTGCTTGTAATGTTCTCTGGTTAACTGTAGTAGTGTGGATATTTTTATTGTGTTCTTAAGTCTGGTTAGCAGGTGGGGTGAGGGAGGCAGGTCAGGTTAGCAGGTAGGGTGAGGGAGGCAAGTCTTCTAAGCCACACTGTAACTCCTGTCATGTATGAGGCTTTGTTGTCATGCAGGAAGACCACCCCAGCAAAGAACATTCCCGGGCGTTCTCTCTTGGGCGACTCCTGTAGGTGTTGGAGCGAACCTGTGCAGTACTACCTGGTGATAAGTCCAGTGGTTCTCCAATTAGTCTACACAGATCTCGCGTCCGTGGCATCCCAGATCACTGTAGCCATGTACCAGAGCCACCAAGTATATCATACCAGAGCCATCAAGTATATACCATACCAGAGCCACCAAGTATATCATTACCAGAGCCACCAAGTATATCATTACCAGAGCCACCAAGTATATCATTACCAGAGCCACCAAGTATATCATTACCAGAGCCACCAAGTATATCATTACCAGAGCCATCACATATCATACCAGAGCCATCAAGTATATACCATACCAGAGCCACCAAGTATATCATTACCAGAGCCACCAAGTATATCATTACCAGAGCCACCAAGTATATCATTACCAGAGCCACCAAGTATATCATTACCAGAGCCACCAAGTATATCATTACCAGAGCCACCAAGCATATACCATACCAGAGCCACCAAGTATATCATTACCAGAGCCACCAAGCATATCATACCAGGAGCCACTACATATCATTACCAGAGCCACCAAGTATACTTATTACCAGAGCCACCAAGTATATCAATAATAGAGCCACTACATATCATTACCAGAGCCACTACATATCATTACTAGACACTACATATCATTACCAGAGCCATCACCAAGTATATATACTATACCTGTTTTACCAAGTATATCATTACCAGAGCCACCAAGTATATCATTACCAGAGCCAAGTATATCATTACCAGAGCTCACCAAGTATATCATTACCAGAGCCACTACATATCATACCAGAGCCATCAAGTATATACCATACCAGAGCCACCAAGTATATCATTACCAGAGTCACTAAGTATATCATTACCAGAGCCACCAAGTATATCATTAACAGAGCCACTAAGTATATCATTACCAGAGCCACCAAGTATATCATTACTAGAGCTAATTAAGTATATCATTACCAGAATACCTAAGCATATCATTACCAGAGCCACCAAGCATATACCACCAGACACCAAGTATATCATTACCAGAGCCACCAAGTATATCAATATTACCAGAGCCACCAAGCATATCACCAGAGCCACCAAGTATATCATTACCAGAGCCACCAAGTATATCATTACCAGAGCCACCAAGTATATCATTACCAGAGCCACCAAGTATATCATTACCAGAGCCACCAAGTATATCATTACCAGAGCCACCAAGTATATCATTACCAGAGCCACCAAGTATATCATTACCAGAGCCACCAAGTATATACCACATGAAGGTCGAGAAAGTCAAAGGGTTCGTACTTCCCCAATAACTAGAGGAAGTAGGAACACAACTGACTGACTTAATCTCTCACTCATTTAAGCTCTGAGTCTATGAATGACAGACAAAATACCATCGGAAATTATACTCCTCAGACTTTACTGTAATTAAATGCCAGCCTTCATTCCTTATTTTATAGAGAAAACGTAACACGAATCATTTTTTTTTTTTGAGAATCCTCGCCTTGAATACAGGTGTGGTCATCAGCAGGTGGAACGTACAGGTAAGTTGGTAATTTTCTTCGGTAATCAAGTGATTTTTAGATCCTGTGATTAGTACATGCCACCCTAACACTATTTGGAGGTGGGGGGGGATGATGTTATGTTAGATTAGGTTAAGTTAAGGTAGATTAAAATAAGTTAGCTTTGGTTTGGTTAGGTTAATCCTCAGGTGAAATAAGCTGGGGTGGAGATTCTTCAGGTGATCCAAAATAGCTTCTTGTACAAATTGTTGTCGCGTAGAATGTTTCCACTGGGCAGAATGACGCTAAAAACTTAACAGTACAGTAAAGTAGTCGTAAATTAACATAACTGTACACCAATGGTGAGAATTAGGTTCCCCGGTATTGTGTCAACCGGGTGGCACCAGGTCAGGTCAGGTCACCCCCGCCATGGCTGAGTTGATTCAGTCACGACCGGAAGTAGTTACCTGTAAGGGGCGTTACCCATCAGTACTCAGGTGTGGCCAGGTGACTGACACACTCCACGTGAGGGTTCCCAGCTCAACCCAACCCAACCCAACCAAAGCTAACCTAACATTACCTTATTTTCTTATCTTCTTGTTCTTATTTTCTTGTTCTTCTGTTCTTATGTTCTTTTTCTTGTTCCCATTTTCTTCTGGTGTAGCTCCCATAACCGAGTCACTGCTGGAGGGAAGAGAACACCAGACGTTGTTGGTGAGTCTTTCTGTTGCTGAGCTTATAGTACTGTTTTTCAGGAGCTTTTGATGATAAGAAGGTCGAGCTCTCTCTCTCTCTCTCTCTCTCTCTCTCTCTCTCTCTCTCTCTGTTGAGTATACTGGCGTCGAATTAGCATAATATTGGTTGTGTATTGACCAAGATAAAGGTCACAGTGAAATGTCAAACGTCAGAGTGAAAGGTCAAAGGTCAAAGGTTATTCCATCTTCGGTGTTTTGAAGTCTCCCTGTTTCCTGGTGGGTTGAGAACTGGTCCTGCAATTAGTGAATAATTAGAAGTGCGTCTTGTAAGTGATAAAGAACTTAAACGAACCATTTTACAAGGATAGTAAATACCAGGTAAATACCAGTAAATACCCCACCCTCTTCCTCACACCCCACCCTCTTCCTCACACCTCACCCTCTTCCTCACACCCCACCCTCTTCCTCACACCCCACCCTCTTCCTCACACCCCACCCTCTTCCTCACACCCCACCCTCTTCCTCACACCCCACCCTCTTCCTCACACCCCACCCTCTTCCTCACACCCCACCCCCTTCCCTCATCCGTCACCCCCTTCCTAACCCCTCACCCCCTCCCTTCACCCAGCAATCTTTGTTACCATTAGAGTGTGTGCCCTTAAAATTAAACTTGCTTTGTCTAGAAATATTAACATAGTTCCTCCTTGAATGACATCCCACATTTTGTCTTTTTTTTCGAAATTGGAAAATATGCTTTGGTACACACACCTCTCTCTCTCAGAATAAACAATAACCACGTGTACCCAGAGCAGATGGTTGAGAAGAGTGGAGGGGATGATTGTCTTGGTTGATGCGCTAAACAGCTGTTGCTTCTGCCCGTAGACATTGTTACTTTATCTCTTCATTACTCTGAAAGACTCATCACGGCGCACTTGGGTCTACCGATGATGGTTTGCGTCAAGGTCTTCCAGGTGGTTTCAGGTGGGTTAGGGAGGTTTCAGGTTGGATTCAGGTGAGTTAAGGAGGTTTCTGTTACAGGAATGAAATAGAAACTTAATATAGTCTAAACACGATAGAAACCTCCCGCGGCCTCCTCCTGAAGTGTGAGTAAGAAACCTCCCCTGGGCGGCCCTCCCTGTAGTGTGAGTAAGAACCTCCCGCGGCCTCCCTCCCTGTGTGAGTAAGAAACCTCCCGCGGCCTCCCTCCTGTAGTGTGTGAGTAAGAAACCTCCCGGCGGCCTCCTCCCAGTGTGATTAAGAAACCTCCTGGCCTCCTCCTGTAGTGTGAGTAAGAAAACCTCCCGCGGCCTCCTCCTGTAGTGTGTGAGTAAGAAACCTCCTGCGGCCTCCTGTATTTAAAACAAGATAGAAACCTCCCGCGGCCTCCTCATGTAGTGTAAGTAAGAAACCTCCCGCGGCCTCCTCCTGTAGTGTGAGTAAGAAACCTCCTGCGGCCTCCTTCTGTATTTTGAACAAGATAGAAACCTCACGCGGCCTCTACTTAACAAAAAAAAAGTACTTTAAGTGCTCCTCTACACGTGCTGGCTGGCTGGCTGGCTCACCTGACCTCCCGGACACCATCACCTCCTACCTGGTCAAGACACGCACGGCTGGTTCTGTCTCGGCTCGCTCAGTCCTTCATGATCTTCTGATGGTGATGACTTCTTGGTGCGTTGTGTTGATAATATTCTAAGGCAATTTTCTCTCTCTCTCTCTCTCACTCAACCTAACCTAACCTAACTTAACCTAACCTAACCTAACCTAACCTAACCTAACATAACCTAACCTAACCTAACCTAACCTAACCTAACCCAACTACCTTCAAAACTGGTCTGTCGCCTTAGAATCGCTAAAGACTTAATAACTTGATTGAGACACCGAACCTAGGGGCGGGGGTGAGGTGAGGTGGGGGGGCGGGGGTAGGGTGGGGTGGTGGGGGGGAAGATGGAGCCCCTAATAATGGCATTAACATAAACGCTGAGGTCATGCTTTTGTGTTGCCAGTTGTAATGTAATTGGATGTGGGGGGTGAGGAGGACCTCTCTAAAGCGTGGCGGCCCTCCTCTTTCTGTGCCTCCACCACCACCACCACCACCACCACCTCCTCCTCCTGACCACAGCTGCTGATGTTGACAGCCACCATACATCACCCCCCACCCCACACCCCCACCACCACCACAAATGGCGTGAAAATTACCGTAAAAAATGTATAATGTCGGATTATTAGACATTAATTACCGCCACTAAGGATTATATTCAACTTAACGAGGCCCTCAGTAGTCACCGTTCTCCTCCTCTTCTCCTTCAGTATTTTCCTCAGCTCTGAATGCCAACACAATCAATTTCAATCATAAAATAAAAACACATTGTAAAAAAAAAAATTCCCTTTTTTTAATATTGCTCGTCTCGGTTTGTTTTTACCTGGTAGTTAATTAAGGTGTTTATTCTCGTGGCCACTCAGCATAGTTACTCACACAGTCAAGGTGGGAGGGAAGGAGAGATGGAGGGAAAGATGGAGAAAAGGGAGGGAGACAAGGAGATGAAGATTGAGAGAGAGAGA